CCGCTGGCCTGTAAATGAGTGAAAACTGCTGTTAATTAGGTGTCAACGATAGCCATGTGATGTGAGTATCAGTCACATGGAGGCAGGGCTTAAAAGCCTGAATTTTGCCTGAAACTCTCAGACTGAAGAAGTCTCTTGGAGGAGAGACGAAACGTTTCTTTAGAGAAGAACCCGTCCAGAAGACCTATACAATTCTTTTTCTTTTTGATTTTTTACCTCGATTACTGAGATGCATCAGGACACTCCTTCACTTTAGACATAAAAGATGAGAACTGCTTATAGCTAGCTTTATTTTCTTTAACCGTTTGTCACACATATAAGATTCATCATGCTGCATGATGTGCGGCAAGAAGATGGAATCAAAAACTTTTTTAATGACGTGTATGACTTGTACATTAAGGTAAGTTTTACATCATTATTGAAATAACTACGAACAGTGAATTTGTCTTGTTGATCCTTTGATATTTACATCCATTGTTTTCCAGTTTGCTATGAATCCATTCTATGAAGTCAACGCACCAATCCGCTCCACGGCTTTCGAGAGGAAAGTTCAGTTTCTTGGGAAGAAACATCTCCAGAGTTAACCCCTTCACGCAGGATATTGTATATATTGAACATACTTGTGTCTTTTCCTAATGTGCAAAGATGTAAAATGTTACTCTAACAGAACATTTTGTGTAAAATCTCTGCTTTGTCAGAATTTTGTTGTGGCTACAGTTAACTAATTTTGATTATGGACATTAAAACTTAATTTTTATGTCAAAATGATTTTTCAAGAACGAGCAAACATAAAAACACAGAAAATGCATGCTGTAAGTTCCTTATTTCTGAATGTAAAGCGTAGCAGTGCACACAAAGCAGAGTACCAAGATAAGATGTGCTTCTGGATCACCTTTAGAATAATAAAATGATTCATGCGGTAGTGTTCATGCTACAAAACGAGCTGATCAGACAGTTCTATGGGTGTTTATTTAGCATATCAGTTTTACAAGGTTATAATAATTTTAACGTGAAACATTGGAAGACAATGCCTGCTTCACTTTCAGATAAGATAGTAGCTGAAGACCTTCAGTGTACATATAGGACAATGTTAGAAAGTTGCATTAAAGGTTGTTCAAAACAGATGCACCATTGAGGAAAAGACAATGATGGTACTTCATTACTTTCATGAAGAAAAAAAATGCCATAGTGTTTTAGTTTCTAAGGTAAAACCCACTTAATTAATAAAAACAAATTATAATCGCCATGCATGTGAATGTCATTTCCAGTGGGGAAGGCAAGTCTGTTTCTAACAGCTTTGATGTATTCATGATGCAAACTGTACACAAGCAAAACTTCAAGGTGATAAAAAAGTTCTACTAGATTATTCAAAGGAAAACCTGAGCTAAAGTACAGTAAGTCACCTCATTAATTTTCATTGTACCTGCTGATAAAATTTTAAATATATTCATTTATAAATGCATCGTGGTATGGAGGGTTAGATGCTTGGTTACTGGCACTCGGCAAGGTTTACATTTCGGTGCACAAAATGTAAACATTTTATCTTCGTGAAAGCGTGAACACTTGATAGGGACATAGAGTATTTTAATATTCAGGGATAATCTTTGACACTAGTAGTTTCCATTTGTTCTGTCAGAATTGTAAAACGTGGGAAACCTGAATCAGAGTCACATTGTTTATTTGTAATTAGATTATTTTAGTGTTCTAGGTTATAGTCCCAACAATGAGAATCACCAAATCTACAAGAAATCAAAAAGCTAGTAGCATAGTTTGTTACTTCAGTGTCATACGCCTACAGCCTCATCACCTAACAGGCATGACGGGTTGATTGGTGGCAGCTCCTGGATGTTAACAACAAGTGCCAGAGCGGGGCTTTCTGTGGAGCTTGACAGTGTCCGTGGGGATGAGGTAGTCCGTTTTGTCATCCATCGCTAACACTCTATGCACTGCTTCCTCAAAGGCCACCGCTACATTGGTGGAATCTTTAGCACTGGTCTCATAATACGGGTACTCCCCATTTTCCTGGCACCACTGCCGAGCGTCCTCTGCAGACACCTGCCTCTCCGTCACATCCACCTTGTTGCCCAAGACCACAAACGGGAACTTCTCCGGCTCCTTGATATCAGCATAGTAGATAAACTCTTTCTTCCAGTTGCTCAGGTTGAGAAAACTCTGGTTGTCGTCCACGCTGAAGGTGAGCAGGCAGCAATCGGAGCCACGATAGAAAGGAGTCCTCAGGCTGCGGAAGCGCTCCTGTCCAGCAGTGTCCCAGATCTGGAGGGTAACGTTGCACCCGTCGACGGTGAGCTCCTTGTTTAGGAACTCGACGCCGATGGTGTGGAAAAGGTGGGCATCGAATTTATTGGTGACGTAACGATTCATCAAGGAGCTCTTTCCAACCCCACCATCACCAAGTAGGATGACTTTCAGTGTAGACTTCTTTGCTGCCATGATTACAGAATCAACCACTTTGAAATGTTTTACCTAACAGGAGGGAAAAAAGAAAAACATTGTTAGGAATATCCTGATGCATCTCAGTAATCCAGGTAAAAAAATCTAAAAGAAAAAAAATGTATAGGTCTTCTGGACGGGTTCTTCTCTAATGAAATGTTTCGTCTCTCCTCCAGGAGACTTCAAGCAAAATTCAGGCTTTTAAGCCCTGCCTCCATGTGACTGATACTCACATCACATGGCTATCGTTGACACCTAATTAACACCTATTGTTAACAGGGGGTGGAGTGAAACTGGCAATAGCAGCGCTGTAGGAGGGGGACAACTGAAAGCGGAGGCCTCCACCTCTGTTTAATGATGGACGGTCTTTCTTCACAAAAATGGCTTCTTTTACTCCTCTCTCAAACCCGCGTTCCTCTCTATCAAGAATGAGAACATCCTCATCTCTGAAAGAGTGACCGCTGGCCTGTAAATGAGTGAAAACTGCAGAGTTCTGGCCATTAGATGTAGCTCGTCTGTGTTGGGACATTCTTTTGAACAGTGGCTGCTTTGTTTCCCTGATGTATAACTGGTCGCAGTCCTCCTGGCACTTAACAGCATATACAACATTGCTCTGTTTGTGCCGGGGCACCGGATCTTTGGGGTGAACCAGCCTTTGCCGTAATGTGTTTTGGGGTTTGAAAGCCACTGGGACATCATGTTTAGAAAATAAACGTCTCAGTTTCTCCGAAACACCTGCAACCTTCAAGTGAAAATGAAGACCCCAAACCCAGACCCAAACCAGTGGTTATTCCGTATGTTGCGGGTGTTTCGGAGAAACTGAGACGTTTATTTTCTAAACATGATGTCCCAGTGGCTTTCAAACCCCAAAACACATTACGGCAAAGGCTGGTTCACCCCAAAGATCCGGTGCCCCGGCACAAACAGAGCAATGTTGTATATGCTGTTAAGTGCCAGGAGGACTGCAACCTGTTATACATCGGGGAAACAAAGCAACCACTGTTCAAAAGAATGTCCCAACACAGACGAGCTACATCTAATGGCCAGAACTCTGCAGTTTTCACTCATTTACAGGCCAGCGGTCACTCTTTCAGAGATGAGGATGTTCTCATTCTTGATAGAGAGGAACGTTGGTTTGAGAGAGGAGTAAAAGAAGACATTTTTGTAAAGAAAGACCGTCCATCATTAAACAGAGGTGGAGGCCTCCGTTTTCAGTTGTCCCCCTCCTACAGTGCTGCTATTGCCAGTATCACTCCACCCCCTGTTAACAATAGGTGTTAATTAGGTGTCAACGACAGCCATGTGATGTATCAGTCACATGGAGGCAGGGCTTAAAAGCCTGAATTTTGCCTGAAACTCTCAGACTGAAGAAGTCTCTTGGAGGAGAGACGAAACGTTTCATTAGAGAAGAACCCACCTAGAAGACCTACACATTTTTTTTTCTTTTTGATTGTTAGGAATAATAATAATAATGATAATAATAAAAAAAAAACATTTTGAAACTGAACAGTAAGCAAATGACACTTTAAAGCAAAAACTAAAATGAGTTTACCCTCACCCCAGATCGCTTTGATCACATCCAGTTGTCCAGATCATGTGCTGTATGGCCCAGTCCTAGGTCACATGCTCATTTGTTTATTGTTGTTGTTGTTGGCAGCCGTGAGACAATTTTTAACCTGCCGAAACACATTACAGTCAAGCTATTATTCCCCCTGTACAACACATAGTTCTGAACAGCAGTTCCAAATGAACAGAACCAACAACAATCAAAACCAAACTTGTAAACATCACGAAGGTTTAGCTTGGTACACTAAATTAATTCGAAACATGACCGAAGTTGAAGAAACGAGAAATCTAAGCCCACCAATCAGCTAGTTGTTAACTAAGCTAGGCTAATTTGAAAATAGAAAAAAACAGCTAAGAGTATTACTAAATCATCTAGTCCGGATTCATTCACATCACAAGCACGACTGCCCGAAACGTACCTTAGAGTCTGACACAGCCACTGATTCAACAGAAAAATAAGACACAGAATATCTACAATGATATGACTGTATTCGTTTGGCAGCTCGATAAAGTCACCGTTTCCTGGTTTAGCTAAGCGGGGCAACGCTAAAACCGATAGCTGCTAGCAAAGAGCTAATAGCGCGAGATCATGTGATCGTGCCAACACAACAAGAGCTCGGACGTCAGGCCCATGCGATTTCTACAAAAATATTTATTTTATTTTTAATAGAAACTATTTCGTGTTTTATACGAATATATAGATTGAACTGGCATTGTTTTACTTTTATGTTCTCTTCACAATTTATATAAATGAATTATCTTTTACTTTTTGTAGTAGCATCTCACCACAAGGGGGAGACATTTAGCTTGAACTGCATGAAGGGGGTTTTATTCATTCAAGTCCATGTTGTACTGTTTGCTTTCCACAGCTCCACAAACATGTTTTATTTCAGAGTATTAAATAGGCTCATTGCTTTAGGACAATAAACAAGATTGTTAAAACTTATTTTAATCATTTGCATTTGTGAAATGAAGCTTCTTTTATAAAGTTAGGTTACAGTTTTCTTCTTTTTCTTCTTCAGGGGTCGCCACACAGTCATCCTCCTCCCTCTCGCTCTGTCCTCTGCATCCTCTGTCCTCACTCTCTAACGGCATCCATAATCTCCTCTTTGGCCTTTTTCTATTGTTTTTTCTGGCAGCTGCATCTTTAACATCCTTGTATCATAATGTCCACAAAACAAGTTGTATAAAGTAGCACTTGTATCACAAGTCTGCATTGTATAGAAAAAATAGACAATGTTTACAAAAAAAAATGGTTTAATACAACAATTCAGCATCATCTCAGTACAAATTTCGCAACATGCACTGATACATTTTAGCACTTGAACAAAACAGCCTTCAATAACTTTACTCATTTATGACATGAGATATATTTCCCCATAGAAATTCACATTACATTGCATTGATATTTCTTTGGTTTACTTCAGCACAATACTGTCGAACCCATCTAACAGAGTTAGCTCTTCCACCTGTTCCTGAGTTATCTGTATTTTAAAAGACTCACTACAAATTCTAAATATAGAACACAGCAGGGTGGACTGACACAGCAGCACGGTGTGAAAGTAAACTTGCATGCACCCATTGTAGATATTTCTTTGCCTTTGATTGTTGTGGTTATTAGAGTAGAGGAATCCTTAATAGGTTTTGATCCAAGTTGAAGATTCCTAAAAGACTGGACCTGCATCCTCTTGACAAGCCCCCGAGGTCAACACAACATTGTCCAGCCCTATCTCGCCTCCAACGCCCTTCCCACGCTGAGCTTCAAAGATAATCTGAAAGATATTTAGTCGCGTCTTTTAAAGCAGTTTCAAATTGCAGATTGCATCACGTACGTTTAAAACAAAAAAGCTATGAAACATTTGTTAGATGAAGTGATCAGACTCACAGATTGYGGTGCTTCGTGCTTCCAGGCCACGGTGAGGAGTTCTGTCTGCCAGCTCTGCTCTTTGCTTTGGTTCTGCTCCCACACTGGATAAGCGTTGTTGTCCAGCAGCACCCGGAGCGAGCCCACGTCGTGGCCCAGCACACGGTAGTCAAAGGTGAGACAGAAGCTGCCCTGCTGGGGTTGGTCACTGAGAAGCAGCTTCAGCTTGGCCACATCTTCTTGCTCCCCAAGCAACCCACTCAATGCCATGTAATACTCAGCACCTGAAAGAGGGCTGGGTGTTAACTACCACTGAATCCAGACATGGGAACAAAAAGTGTTTTGTGTTAGCATTTCATTACCTTTATCATGATATGCCACGACCCAGTCCATGTCATCACCTCTGTCCTGAACCCATTCACATGCTCCTTGATCAAAGTTGCAGTCCATGAAATATTCTATAGGCAATAATTAACAATGGCTCATTTTAGATTACCAACATAAAAAAACATTACATGATATTGGAACATATATTTAATTACCTGTCTGAGGTGATTCAATGTGGATTTCTTTGATTTCTGTGGCTGGGCCAACCATGGACTCAAAGTCCTCTGGAATGGTGGTGAAAACAAAGCAGAAACTGTTTTTAAAAATTTCTGACTATTAAACATCCTGTTGAAAGATCAGGCAGTTTGTTCAGCTGAGACATTCCAATACTGCGATCATCCTGAAAATCCTATAAATCCTGTTATGAGGTGTTTCAATAGAGACTTAAGGCAGGATTTCCTGAAGAGTGGCACATAACAGAGAATATTTACTAAACCACTGCACCTACAAAAAATCCCAGTGTACTTTGAAGCGGTTCATGTTCTCAAATGGGGTTTTGTGGGGAAGTTTATGAACAATTAATATCTTACCTGGTGGATATTGAACAACCTCAGTTTGAAATAGTGTAATTGTAAATATATTCACAATCTGAGCTGGGCTAAAACCAATGTGAACTGCTGCTCCTKCTTTAAAACAACTTTTTTTCCAAAAAATGTATAGATTTTACTGTAAAAGCAAGTTTATAAAGCTTAACATCAAAAGGTTATGGCCACTAATCAACCTGTCATGCCTCTTAGGTTATTCACTGTTTTATGTACTTTACGTTATGCCAACAAACAGTTTATGTTTTTGTTTCTCCTCTAAGTTTATCTTACTACTGCTGTTAATCATTACTTTACAGAAGATTAGAATTATCAAAGATTAAGATGCAAGTTRGCACACAGTAGATGTAAATACTTTTGTGTTGGGGAAGGGTATAATCAGCTTTTCTCAGCCATATACCTAAGTACAAGTCGCTTCAGTAAACATAATCCTCTGTTATAACATCAAACCAAGGTTTGCAGTGAATACGCTTGATGTTGTATACTGTATGTAGACAGGGTTTGCAACAGATGTATATAAGTACATGAAAAATAACTAAGTAAAAATACATTAACAGAAACTGTATTTGGTAAAAAAAAAATTTACAGATAAGAAAAGTACTCAGGTAAAAGTCATAAAACTGCTCACAATAATCAAGGAAGTAAATTTAAAAGTAAAGGTACTTTTACACACACACTTTTAGAAAATAAATGTTGAATTTACAAAGTAATTCAATTTAGTGGAACCATTTGACATAAAAGTGAAGTAAATAAAGTTTCATTTTTGTATAAACAACTCTTCATGATGTGTTCAGTCAGTGTTACATTTTAAATTAAGAAGTAAAAGTAGCATTTTTATGTTTTGAATATAACAGTTTCAATAAAAAATACTTGGTAAAATTACAAATACTTAAAAGAAATGACTCAAGTTCTGAAACGAAGTACATACACTACACCTCAGGTCTGCAGGCCTTTGCAACAACTTCTAAATTGCAATACCTTATAGGTCATATTTGTAAATGAAAAATATAATAACTTGGTATTTCTAATTGCAATGTAAAGTTTTTTTTCCACTACTTATTCAGCATGAAACATATTTTGAAACAGTCATTTCCACAATGTGAACGGTAGAAAAAGGGGTTTTCACTAACAGGTGTAGACCTGTCCTCTTGTTCCTRAAGTCTTGAAATGGAGCCACAATTTCAGGATGAAACCCCCCACCCCAAGCATTCTTAAAGCTCCTACAGCAAACCACCCCCCCTCCCTGAAAACCAGCCTCAGAAGAGTGACAGCTGGGGGTTTTTGAACCTGCTCAGCCAAAGACGGGTGGTTTTAGAGAGAAGTGGCGTGTTGATGACAGGCTTTCCTACGGGGAGTCAAGTCTTTTAGCACAACAGCTGTTTTGGGGGAAAACATAATAAAAGGTTTGGGGGCTGTGCAACCTTCCTCCGTTCCTCGCCCTCCTCCTCCGGGATGGGAAACAGGCACAGGATGAGTTTTATCCTCGGGCTCACACATGCCAAAGGAGTAAAATTCCTCCTGGGAGGTGATGGATGTCTTGGGGCTTGTCTTCTCTTGCTGTCTTAGGTTTAACAGGACTTGTGTTTTTGTAAAGAACAAGGTTAGTGCTGAAAGGCAACCTCACTTATGGGTCCTTCTTTTCACTAAAGTGAAAGCTAATAGATGACCTCTTTCTTTTTTTCTTCTTAGTTTTCTTTTTTTTTTTGTTGTTGTTGCAAATATTTATTAAGTTTAGCCAACAGTACCTGTTAACCAACCTCAGAATATATTTCTGACAAAAAAGCAAGGTAATGGTTAATCCAATTGAAGCCAAAACCAAAGTGGATTAATCCTGTCCTAAATACAAAAAAGTCATACCTAGCAGTTTATGTTTATTCCTTTTTTTTTTTTAGAAAAAAATCTAAATTTTTTAGGGTGCTGCCATGTTTTATATTTGAAACTGTAGTCTGTGCATGATGGAAATGTACAGTATAGGGCTGAAATCTTAAAATAACAGTCCTGCCTAGGCTGTCCTATCATCAATGGTGATGTAACATGAAGCTTTTTAAAAGGCTAATGAACTATTTAAAACTAAACATATTTAAAAGTTTGTGTATTTAAACACGACATGTATCAAGACAACTCAACACTTGAAAAACAAACATCTGGATTGGATGGATTTGTTTACACGGAAAGGCAGGAAATAAACATTGTACTGCAGCCAGCTTATGTGGGAAGTTTGCACTTTGAGGCTTCAACTTCCACGTTCCAGTCCTGTATTTGGCTCTAATGTAGTACATKTTGATGTTTCTAACATCCCCATGGAGATTTTTTATTTATTGAAATAGTCTGTAAAATCACTGTGATATTAGAGTCACGTTGGGAGCTGTTCACTGACAGAAGACATTATAAATGGAAACTATTTTTCTTCAAGTTAACATGAAATGAAGCAACGAGCACCCTTTCTTTTTTTCATTAAGTGTTTAACCTGGACTAAAATTAAGAGCAATATCCCAGCTAAATAAAAACTCACTGAAAACATCTCCTCTTGGATTGAGCTGGTTTTCTTCCTCTTCCTCCTCCTCCTCCTCCTCTTCCTGCCCAGGAAATTTCTCTTTCCTTTCCTCCGTCTGGGAGCCGACATAGATCTCTTCATCGTAGTCGAAAGGTTGATGGCGGACCAGAAGAGGCGGTGGCGTCGCGACCGTTTCGGGGATGATGTTTTTGATGTCCTCTTTGTTAGGCCTACCTCCCAGAATCTCAGGCCTCAGCTGGGAGTCCGGGATGGCTGCAGGCCAGAAAAGAAACCGTAAAAAGACACATGGATCAGTAATTACAGGATAGTACTTTACCAGAACTCAGACATGTTTTTTTTGTTTGTATCTTTTGAGCAGGTYTAGTTCAGTTATAAATCCCTTTTTTTTGCAGATAAGATATTTTCCAGCAAGCTCAGGAAATTCACATGCCAGCTTATATATTAGTTATTTAGTGAACAAATAATACACAATGTCAATTAAAACCTGCCATGCTGAGGATGCACCAAGCTGTGGATGCTGAACGTTAAATCAGGCTAAGGAAGAGATGCACGCAGAGATCAAGCTAAAGCTGGTTTCCACACAGTCTCACCATTGATGAAATCATCTGCACTGCCTTTGTCTCCACCCCACCATTTCTCATAAAATGGTTTGACTATAAAAAATAAAAGCATCCTCATTTACAATTAAACCTCTAACCTGCAGTCAGTTCACAGTTAACTTCGTCAGACATCTGTTCCCTCTGTGTTTGAAGATTAAATCTCTAAAACCATTTTTTTAGAAACCTGGATATAAATCCTGTTTGTGTGTTTTCTCTCTACTGCTAAAAGTCTGCAAAAGAGGATTGAAGTCCAAAGACAGGAAACTAACTTTGGCAGGACTCCAGTTTGCTGATAGAGTTTAGATGAAATGTGCAGCTGTAAAACTCTTCCTGACTTTGACTTGGAAAAAGTCACCCATCTGCTTTTGACTCCTTTTAGTGCCGTTTAAAACGAACTGTATTATAAGTGTTTCTGGAGCAGACATTTGATCTCACCAGAGCACTCAAAGCCGTTGCCTCTGAAGCCGGACTTGCACTTGCACTTGTAGGCTCCGTGAGTGTTCAGACACACGGCGTGGTGGCTGCACTTGTGGGTTTCAGCTGCGCACTCGTCAACATCTGGAATTAAAAGAATCCTGTTTGCACCCTCAAAAGAGGAATTAGCCGCTTCACCTCGAAAATACGCCGTAGACCTCACCTACGCAGTCATATTTGCCGCTGACATATTTCAGGTCGTAGCCGTCCTGGCACTTGCAGTAGTAGCTGCCAAAGGTGTTGACACATTGTCTGTTGTAAGGGCAGAGGTTCTTTCCAGTTATGCATTCATCAATATCTGAACAGGAGACAAACAAACAAACAAAAAAACATTTGCAAGTAAAAACACATTTAGTGAATGTAGCCTAAATGAACACGTGAATAACAATGAGTTTAGTCATCAAAAGGATTAGTTAAATGTTACATAATGACAAAATGTTCTACTGTCTTAAGGCATGTACAGTATTTCAACAAGTCACAGTTGAAATTGCCACGAAATTAAAATTTGAGTTCAGTGTAACATTTTGTATTTCAGTTTCTCAAATGATTAAACACTTTTAATCAAGTTAGGACAGATTTGCAAACATTAGTATTAATTTCTGTAAGCAATCCAGATCAATGTAACTGAAACAAAGTTGAGACAACTTACAAGTGCTTACAGTTTAATTTAACTGAAAGAGATTTGCAAATCAAAGCAACTACCCAAAACAGTTCAATCAGTTCCTAAAAGCAAATCAGTCAAACTGACAGACATATGTGAAACAAATGGGATTTTATGGACCCTACAGTCTTTGTTCATAAACACATTTTTTTCTTGCTCAAAGCAAAAGCATTGCTATCCTCTTTAATGTTCCATTCATCCCAATGTGTGGATGTTTGCTCACATGTGTTTTGTTCTGCAAGCAGAGCCAAATAAGGAGGAATGAGCCCTGCTTCCTGCCCTCTTCTGCTCAGAAACCTGCTGTCGTCTTGTCCAGCTGCGTGCCTCCAGGCAGCAGAATCACTAATCTGCACCTGGGGAGCTTTGTAATCACTGACATATAGACACGATCTCCTGGTGGCTTCACTCGTTCCATTACAGGTAATGTTTGAGAAGCTGTGAACAACTGACTGTAAGTTTACACTCACCGGCCACTTTATTAGGTACACCTGTCCAACTGCTCGTTAACACTTAATTTCTAATCAGCCAATCACATGGCGGCAACTCAGTGCATTTAGG